TCAGCCCAGAGCATGGTCACCTCCGTGTCTTACTGCCCTGTGCTTTCACAAGGTGCGCCTTTTCTTGCTGTTTTTTTGGCTTGCCAAGCTGCGCCATCTTGGAGGGAGAGGGAAGAAGGCTGCAGTGGCTTCATGATGCATTGGCATCCCGCCACGATGGCCCCTTCTCCCCCTCTCCAACGATCCTTTCATGGCCTGCGCAATCTTCCTGCACTGGCTGTTAGGTGGGGAAGCGGCAGTCAGTTCTGGTTGCACCTCCAAAGTTGGAAGGTTTGACCTTGGAGCCGAGAATCCAGATGGCCCTCACACAATGCCTAGGGGCCACAGGATCATCCCTCCAAGTTGTCCTCGATCCGCTTGTGGGGGTGGGGGAGCATTTCTGGCCTTTCTCCCTTTGCTGCAGCTGCTGCTGGAACGCTGTCCTTGGGAGCCTCTCTGAAACGGGCTTTGGTCCTCGGGCTGAAATACGTGTTGCATGTCCCAGCGGAGCTGTGAGTAGCCGACCTGTACTTTGAGGCAGGGGGCCGGCAAGCACACGAGCCGCGTGATCATGGAGCACCCACTGCGCTCCTGGGAGATTCCCCTCACCTGACACTTTCACGGAAGTCTGTCAGCCTTCCTGACACAGACTCCCCCAGCCACATGCACCCTTTACATACGCAGAGCCCTTTCCAGTTCTACCTCCACAGATAATCCATGTAGAAACATAGAAACAGAGCGAGTCAGAAGGGGTCTCCCGGGCCATCTAGTCTGACCCCCAGCTCCAGCCGGCTCTGCTCAGGACATGCCCACCATGTGCATGTCCAGGCTATCCTTAAACACCCTCACCCTTGGGGCCTCAACCACCTCCCAGGGAAGCCCATTCCACACCCTCGGGGTCCTGACTGTCAGGAACTGACCCTAACTGACCCTGCACATGTTTCCCTCGGAAAAGCTCCGGAGCCGCCCCTCTGTTCTCTTGCCCGTGAGGGCCAGGTTCAGATTCAGCCCCTGCAGAATCTTCTGGTTGGTAGGATGGAGAGCCCCTCCCCAAATACCCACTGGAGCCCCCCCGAAAGGGGCAGGCAGGGCCCCCACCTCAAATGACAGGCCCTGCAGCAGCAGCAGCAGCAAGGTGGACGGCTCCTCTGGGTGGCGGCGGACTAGCGCGTCCACGGTTCCCTTGGCGTCTACGTGGCCCGGAGCCACCCGTCAAGGGGCTGCGATTTGGCCTGCTTGTCTTGTATGGCAATCCGGTTGTTGTTGCTGTTGTTGTTGCTGCTGCTGTTGCTGTTGCCTGTAAGCCATCTGCAAACTGTCCCGAGATTTTATAATGATTGGGCAGTATATAAGAGTGGCATTAAGAGTATTTATCCTTCGTATTTTTGCTTCATTCTTTGTAAATGCCAGTTGCAGTCATCAGCTGCATTATGAAAAATTTATTTTATTTATTTATTAAAACATTTCTATGCCACCCCTTGCCAAGGCCTCGGGGCGGCTTACAACATCGAATACAAAATACATTAAAACCCTATTTAGTGCCTTGGTTGTGTTGTAGTTATGTCCCTCGAATATGGACATGCTCTTCCCCATCTCATCTTGGGCTTCTGCTGCAGCCCGAGAGAGCAGAGCAAACATTACTTTTAATTAATTTTTAAAGTGCATAGGAATTCGTTCATATTTTTTCAAACTATAGTCCAGCCCCCTAACAGTCTGAGAGACAGTGAACTGGCTCTGTTTTAAAAGTTTGAGGACCCCTGGTGTATACTTTGGTCCAGTTCAAGAAATAATTCCATACTGATATGCATGTACTGTGTAAAATACAGATTGACCTAAACTTTTCCTTTTGTTTTGCTGTAGACAGAACATGGTGTTTTATCCTTTGAATGTTCTGATTTTGCTTCTTCTTCTTTCAAGGAAGGAAGGCTAGACATATGCACACATAAGCAAATTGCACTGGACTCGTACAACTTATCTTTTGAGTAGGTATGTACAGGATTGCCTGAGTAATCTCTCACGGCAACCTGTACCCCGAAAGATGGGTCTGCTTGCTGCTGGCAGAAGTGTTCATTTTTGTATGATTCTAGCTTTACTGCTTTACTAAAATGAACAGAATAGTGGAGTTGGAAGCAAAAAAGGCTGTCACTCCCTGCTCAGTGCAGGACTCCAGATGCATTGCACTCCGGAGGTCATTTGAACTGGTTTCCACTGTCTGGTGGGCTGGGTTGAAGCCAGACATGCTGCAGATGCCATCAGACACAACGAAGGACTGCAGTGCCCATTTTCACACAGCAGTCTTCCAAATCAACAAAGCCTTCTACATCTCCTGGCTTCACCAGCTGGACATTTATTAATTTTCTTTAGAACTTTATGATGTTCTAAGTAATGTCCTGACACTTCAAAAGACTTGAAGAGGAGAACCATTAGTGGACCTTAGCAACACATCTTGTATTGAGCAGCTGAATGCCCACACCTGCAGCTTTGAAAAGAAATACTTTCCTTTTTTTTTTCAATGAAAATTGCTAACAAGGTGAATAAAAAGTTTTACAATCATTAATCTAAAATTATTTAAATTTATACCTGCATTGGTCATTAAACAAAACATGGTTAAAAATAAACTGGCATAAGTATCAATTAAACAAACATTCATTTTAAATTTAACTTTTTACTTTGAGTACATCCCTGTTGGTTCTTCTGGACCTCTCGGCGGCTTTCGATACCATCGACCATGGTATCCTTCTGGATAGACTTGCGGGATTGGGGGTTGGAGGCACTGCTTTGCAGTGGTTCCGCTCCTATCTCGACGGTCGATTCCAGAAGGTAGTGCTGGGGGACCATGTCTCTACGTCATGGCAGCTATGCCATGGAGTACCACAGGGCTCCACTCCATCCCCTCTGCTATTTAACATCTATATGAAACCGCTGGGAGAGGTCA